TTGAGCGCCGCCAGTGCGGCTGCTTCGGGCTCGAAGATAAATCTCAGCTGGGTTGCTTCGGCATAAATCCTTGCCGTCATTGGACACTCGGGTGTGTGCCATCGGATTACATCGGGATCCAGAAGGTTCCAGTCACTGAATTGGCAGACCCTCGAGCCATACCTGCGCGCAGTCCGCACAAGTCCCTTGCCGCAAAGTACCTTCACGGCCTCGCGAATTACGGTTCTTGAAACTCCCAGCGAACCGACAAGTTCCTCCTCCTTCGGGAGCGTGTTTCCCAAGGGATAGTAACCAAGGACTATTCGCCGCCCCAATTGTTCAACCGTGTCTTTTACAGCACCTGTCGGCAGGGAAGTCAGAATTTTGTCCGGTAATTCAAAAAAATGTCGATCTCTTTCGATCATGATACATGCTCGATAGTTCCAAGTATTGGCCTTGGAAATGGAGGGCAGACCAAATCACAGCATTTCTATTCTAAAATAAATCTGAACGAAAACCTACCGCCAAATCCTGAGATGCTGCTGCTAAATCCTTAGTTTTCATTTTTGACTTGTTTGGAATATCTGCCGAACAGGAAGGATCCGTCTAATATTCATTCCGAAATTCGGGTTTCGTCTTGGTGGCTCACTCGAGGAAAAATACTTTGCCGATCTCGGTGCAACACTGTTGGTATCAAGTTTTCCGTCAATAAATTTCAGAGTCGAACTGGTTCAATTTACAATTGATTTTTATGGAAAATTTAGAAAACCTGAGCAAAATGCGTATTCAGGGGTAGAGGCGAATAAATCGAACTGGCCATCTTGAGAAAAGTGTTGCGTCATGGGCTGATCAATCGTCCCGGGTGGCGTATGAAATCGATTGTCCGGAAAGGCGACGCAATTTGGTCGAACTAGTTGGCGGCAGGTACGATTCGGGGCGAATTTCGGAGAGTTTCTCTCCGCTGGTCTGGAGTGAATGTCTTGAGTGTTAGCGACAGCGCGTCGTTGCCATATGCTCCAAAGGAGATGGGGCGGGTCAGTCTGTCCCGCACGTTTATTCTCTATACACTGGGCCTTTTCGCTGTTCTGGGCATAGTTTTCATTGCCATTTTGACAAAAATAACCTGGGACGCCTCCCACGCTCGGGCAATCCGCGTGACCGAAGCGTTCTTTCAGGCAACCAAACGTCCTTTTGAAAGGGCGATCTGGACAGTAAATGCGGATGCGACTTTGCAACTCATCCGGGGATTGGAAAGTCTGGAAGTCGTGGAACGGGTCTGGGTGGAGACGCCTGACACCGGAAATTTCGGAGAACCGGTTGAAGGAATTCGTCGCAGCGAGGCACTGAGCTACACCTTGAATTCGCCAAGTGCGATCTTGCACAAGGACGCAATCGGCCAGGTCTTCATCCTGATCGACCGGAGCACGATCTCTCGTGAAATCGTGTCGACCGTGGGTTACATCGTTGCGGCGATCATTGTCTATCTTTTGCTGCTGGCTGTCGTTATCCGGGCTGTGTTTCGCCGCCTGATCGGGCGACCTCTGTCGACAATCGTCGGATATCTCTCAACCCCGCGTCTGATCGAGGCGCCACCTGATGCGCAACTTATGCCGGGAAGAGCGGACGAAATCGGAATACTTGCTTCAAGCCTTCAGTCAATGGTGCAGCGCAGGCACTTCGACCTTCAGAAAATTCAGGAATACCAGACGAACCTCGAAGATCTGGTGGCACATAGAACAGAGCAACTGAAACTTGTTCAGGAAGAGCTTATCCAGGCCGACAACCTTGCAGCGCTCGGTGCGTTGGTTGCGGGTGTCTCGCACGAGCTGAATACACCACTGGGCAATGCGCTCATGGCTGCGACGACAATCAAGGATGCAACCGACTATCTCAGGACCGAACTTGATGAACAGCGCCTCAGCAAGGAAACGCTGGAAAGCGAAGTTCAAAGAATTACGGATACCGCGAACATTATTGAAAAGACTCTCGGGCGGGCAAGGGAACTCGTCGGAAACTTCAGGCAGGTGGCAGTTGACCGTCAAAGCGAGAAAATGCGGTCGTTCAATTTCGATCATATTGTTCGCGAGACGCTCGCAACACTTCAGCCAACCTTGAAAAAAACGGCCTTCAAAGTCGAGCTCGACCTGGATGCCGACGAGGTGATTGAAAGTTATCCCGGCGCCGTTAGCCAGCTTGTTTCAAATCTCGTTGAAAACGCGATGAAGCACGCATATGAAGGCCGCAGCGAGGGTGTCATCAAACTCTGTTCGAAAGTCAGGCCTTTCATTGCCAATGATGGGTGCGACGGCAACACAAAGAAGATCGTGTTTACCTGCAAAGACTACGGGGTCGGAATTCCGGAAAAAAACCTGAAGAAGGTTTTCGAGCCTTTCTTTACAACCAAATTTGGCAAGGGGGGCTCCGGACTCGGAATGGCGATATGCTACCAACTCGTGACGGAAGCGCTAAAGGGATCAATCTCAGTGTCTTCCAAGGTCGGATCCGGAACAGAGTTCGTCATCGAGCTTCCAGTCAAAGTGCAGCTGAACAACAAATCAACGACGAGAGAGATGGTGCACTGAAATGGTGATGGATTTCCTTGCGCCTTCCGAACCCGATATCAAGAGGGATACGAAAACCCCCTGGAAAATTCTCGTTGTTGACGATGATCCCGATGTGCACGAAGTGACGAGGATTGCGGTCGCCGGATGCTCATTCGAGGACCGTTCCTTCGATCTCTTGCACGCCTTGTCCGCACAGGAGGCGCGACAGCTGCTTGTGGAGCATGACGATGTTGCCGTTGCGCTGATCGATGTCGTGATGGAGAGCGACACGGCAGGGCTTGCTCTTGTCAGCTGGATCAGATCGGAGCTCAAAAACAATTTTACGCGTCTTATCCTGAGAACCGGTCAACCGGGCTACGCTCCGCAAACAGACGTGATCATGAAATTTGATATCGATGGTTACGCGGAAAAGGCCGAACTCTCCCGAACCAAACTGATTACGGCGATCGTTACAGCGTTGCGTGGATACAAACTCGTCATGTCGCTGGAGGACAACCGGCGGAAATTGAAGCAGTTGAATACCCAGTTTTCCGCGATTGTTGAAAAGAACGCCCTCAGCGAATTTGCGTCAACCGTGCTTGAGCATTTTTCCGATCTCGTCGGAGAGCCGATTGATGGGTTGCTTTGCGGCCTTGAAGCCATGCCCGAATACGGAACCGCTGACATTTCAATGGTGCGCGTTCTTGCTGCTGCAGGTGAATTTGAAGACAAGGTCGACCTGCCTCTTGAGGTCATCGGCGAAGATCTCGTTCGAAAATCGATCCTGGAGTGTATCGAGAGCAAGGGAACCCATTCGACAGCTCAAGGCGTGGCGTTGCCGTTGGTAACCAGGAACGGAATGGCTGGAGCGCTCTACGTCGCACTTCCCCTCGGCATACTGGATGAGCGGATCGGGTCTGAAGTCGTTCAGCTTTTCGTCTCCAATGTTGCTTTGGGTTATGAAAAAACCGGTTTGCTCGAACATATTCGGAACCTGGCCTATGTCGACCGGATGACCGGGCTGTCGACCTTCTCGGGTTTCATTGAAGCCTTCCAGCGCCATGCTGGTGATGGCCGCCCACTCCTGGTGGTCCATTCGGACATTCAACGGTTTCGTGTCATTGTCGACGGCATTGGTGATGAACAGGCCGGCGCCGTGCTTAAGCGGACCGGGCACAGGCTATCCCAGACTTTCCCCGATGCATTGACGATCGCGCGAAAGGAAAAGGATGAATTTCTCATTCTTCTCAAGGGTGGTGAAGAAAACAAGATACAGGATGTTGTCGCCAGGGTTGAAGAGGCCTTTCAGGAACCGATCACGCTCCACGAAAATCAGATTACGCTAAGATTACGCTTGGGTTTTGCCGCTGCTGACGATGAAAAAAGGGGCGCTGAGGAAACTGTCAGGTATGCTTCGATCGCACTGAACGATGTCCGGCAAAAGGGATTGACGAACCACGCCGTTTTTCACCCGCTTATGCAGGAGGCCGCGTTTGAAAGATTGCGGTTGGCATCGCTCCTGACCGGTTCTGGAAACCAGACCGAGTTTTCTCTGAACTATCAGCCGATAATGCACGCGACAGACGAGAGCATCGCTTCCTTCGAAGCTTTGATGCGCTTCAGGACAAAGTCCGGTAGTTTCCTCAATACAGCGCGAATGATCGAGGCGGCCGAGGCCAGCGGGTTGATCATCGAAATCGGCGCCTGGATGTTCAAGACCGCTTTTTCCGAATTCAGTCAGTTAAGTGGCGTTTCGGAGCATGTCAGGCTCAATGTCAATCTGTCCCCCAGACAAGTTCAGGCGAACAGGATCTACAAGGATATCGAGGATGCGGCTGCGGCTGCCAACTTCACCTTGGACCGGCTTGTGTTTGAAGTCACCGAGGGACTGTTCGTCAGCAACGACCAGGTAACGATGTCGCTTTTGACCTGGCTGCGCAACAAGGGCGCAAAGGTGGTGATCGACGACTTCGGGACCGGATATTCTTCTTTCAGTTATCTTCGCAAGTTGCCCGTCGACGGTATCAAGATCGACAGAAGCTTCATCATGAACATGGAGCAGGATGCGGATGCGCTGGCAGTGGTGAAGTCGATAATCGCGGTTGCGCAGGCGCTGGATCTGAGTATCACGGCCGAAGGTGTCGAAACATCGGATCAGCGGCAAATAATGCAGGAACTCCGCTGCGATTTTCTTCAGGGTTATTTTTATGCCAAACCTCTTCCGAGTTCCGAGCTCGGCCCCTTTATTCAAAGTGCCGTAGTCCCGGGCGCTGCAGCCGGCTGAAATCGCACAAGAATACGCCTCGCTCCAAAATCTTCTTGCAACAACGGTGCGCAAACCCCCTGCGACTGCCGGTTGTCCGGTTTTCTTTCGTAACCGGGACATAAGTGATTGAAATTTGTGGCGAGGCAGGCTCTCATAGATCCAAATCGATTTTACGGACAAGCGCGACAACACGCGATTTAAGGGGGAACACTATGGATATGAACGGCTCCCACCGAATACCGGCAAAACGAGAGGCCGTCTGGGAGGCTCTCAACGATCCTGAAGTGCTGAAGGCCTGCATTCCTGGTTGCGAGAGCTTGGAAAAGACGTCCGAGACGGAAATGAATGCTGCGGTGACGACGAAGATCGGGCCGGTTAAGGCGAAGTTCAAGGGAGCGGTCACGCTTGAGGATCTCAACCCGCCCGAGAGTTACACGATCAGGGGAGAAGGCAAGGGCGGCGTTGCCGGTTTTGCCAAGGGATCGGCGCAAGTCCGGCTGTTGGAAGAAGGGGCTGAGACAGTTCTGAGCTATGAGGCGAAAGCTCAGGTCGGCGGCAAGCTTGCGCAGCTTGGTAGCCGGTTGGTCGATTCAACTGCAAAAAAGCTGGCTGACGAGTTTTTCACCAAGTTCACCGAGCGGGTCGGTGAGGGACAGGGGGCACCGGAGGTGAGCCCACCTGCCGACGATGAACTGGATGCCGGGGTTGCCGAGGAAGCCAAGCGCATAGCGATTGAAGAGACACCCGGTGAAGTTCTGCATGCGATCGAGGAAGCCGAGCATGCGGTCGAGGAGTCGTTGCAAAAGGCGGAAGAAAACCTGGAGGTTGCTGCGGGGCGCAACGCATATGGCGGACCGATGGTGTGGGGCCTAGCGCTGCTTGGCGTGCTGATCCTCGTGCTTGCGCTTGCAAGCTGAGATCATTTGCAGTGACCGGCCTTTGAAAAATGGCACCAAGGGATACGAAAGAGACGCGAATAACCAGATTGACCGGGCCGGAATTTCGGATCTGGTCCTGACAGTATCATTAGGGAGAGGATTTTATGTCGAAGGTATCGATGGTCTTGAACGGGAAGACGGTTTCATCGGATGTTGAGGACCGTACTTTGCTTGTTTCGTTCATACGTGATGTTCGTGGATTGACGGGCACGCATGTTGGTTGTGACACGTCTCAGTGTGGTGCATGTGTTGTTCATGTTGACGGCAAGGCGGTTAAGGCCTGCACGATGCTAGCGGTTCAGGCGTCTGGTTCGGATGTGGTGACGCTTGAGGGGATCGGGACTGCGACGTCGCTTCATCCTGTTCAGGCTGCGTTTCGTGAGCATCACGGTCTTCAGTGCGGTTTTTGCACGCCGGGGATGATCATGAGTGCGGTTGACATGATCAATCGTCATGGTGCCGGCAATCTGGATGAGGCGACGATCCGCGATGAGCTTGAGGGCAACATTTGCCGTTGCACGGGCTATCACAACATTGTCAAGGCGATCAAGGCGGCGTCGGATCAGATGGCGGGGATGTCTCAGGCTGCTGAATAGGCGGCCTGGTTTGGGAATTCGATGCGTGTCCGGGTTGGCGCGTGAGGCAGTTTAGGACCAATCAGCTCACCGAGGGCCGGGAGGACGCGGCGCGAACGGGTGGAGTACCCGGAGCTGATATTTGGGAGAGAGAAGATGGCTATTGAGGGGATCGGCGCCCGGGCGCTGCGCAAGGAAGACAAGCGCTTCATAACCGGCAAGGGTCAGTATACGGACGACATGGTTCTGCCTGGCATGGGCCATGCGGCTTTTGTTCGCTCGCCGCATGCGCATGCGAAGGTGCTCGGGATTGATGCCAGTGCGGCGCTTTCGATGCCGGGTGTTGATGCGGTTCTGACGGGGGACCAGCTTGTCGGTGACGGCATTGGCAATCTGATCTGCGGCTGGATGATCCATTCCAAGGACGGGACGCCGATGAAGATGGGCGGCTGGCGGGCTCTTGAGCCGGAAGTCGTGCGTCATGTCGGTCAGGCGATTGCGGTTGTTGTTGCCGATACGCAGGCGGAGGCCCGCGATGCGGCTGATGCGGTTGTTGTCGATTACGAGGAGCTTCCGGCTGTTGTTGATGCTGTTGCGGCGCTTGAGCCCGGAGCACCGCAGATCCATCCGGAAGCGGAAGGCAATCTGATCTACGACTGGGAGATCGGCGACGAGGCTGCTGTGAATGCGGCCTTTGCGAGTGCCGCGCATGTGACGAAGATGGAGATCCGCAACAACCGTCTGGTTCCGAACCCGATGGAGCCTCGGGCGGCGCTTGCCAGCTACAATGATGCGGAAGAGCATCACACGCTCTATACGACCTCGCAGAACCCGCATGTTGCGCGTCTTGTTCTGTCGGCGTTCTACAATGTCGCGCCTGAGCACAAGCTTCGGGTGATCGCACCGGATGTGGGTGGTGGCTTCGGGTCAAAGATCTACATCTATCCGGAAGAGATGGTGTGCTTGTGGGCGTCGAAGCGTGTCGGCCGCCCGGTGAAGTGGGTGTCGGACCGCACGGAGGCGTTTCTGACGGATGCGCATGGTCGCGATCATGTCTCTGAGGCGGAGCTTGCGCTGGATGCGGACAACCGGATCACGGGATTGCGGGTCAAGACGATCGCCAATCTTGGCGCCTACATGTCGCTGTTTTCCTCTTCGGTGCCGACGTATCTTTATGCGACGCTTTTGTCTGGCCAGTACAACATTCCGGCGATCCATGCGAATGTGAAGACGGTCTATACCAACACGACGGCAGTTGATGCGTATCGGGGTGCGGGGCGTCCGGAGGCGACTTATCTTGTCGAGCGGATGATGGAGACTGCGGCCCGTGAGGTGGGTCTGTCTCCTGCGGACTTCCGGCGCAAGAACTTCGTTCGGGAGTTCCCGCATCAGACGCCGGTGATCATGTGCTATGACGCGGGCGATTATGACGCGACGCTGGATGCGGCGCTTCAGGCTGCCGATTATGCGGGCTTTGCGGCGCGCAAGGCTGAGGCTGCCTCGCGCGGCAAGCTGCGGGGCATCGGTCTTTCCTGCTACATCGAGGCGTGCGGCATTGCGCCGTCAGCCGCGGTGGGGTCTCTGGGGGCCGGTGTGGGTCTTTGGGAATCGGCCGAGGTCCGGGTGAACCCGGTGGGCACGGTCGAGGTTCTGACGGGCTCGCACAGTCACGGCCAGGGTCATGAGACGACGTTTGCGCAGCTGATCAGCGAGCGGTTCGGTCTGGACAGCGATGCGGTTTCGATCGTGCATGGCGACACGGACAAGGTCCAGTTCGGCATGGGCACCTACGGGTCCCGGTCGGGCGCAGTCGGCATGTCTGCGATCGTGAAGGCGCTGGACAAGGTTGAAGCGAAGGCGAAGAAGATCGCGGCGCACCTGATGGAGGCTGCCGAGGGCGACATCCAGATCGAGGGTGGCGAGTTGAAGGTTGCGGGCACGGACAAGAAGCTTTCGTTCACGGAAGTGGCGCTTGCGGCCTATACGGCGCACAATCTACCTGAAGGCATGGAGCCCGGTCTGAAGGAGGGGGCGTTCTATGATCCGACCAACTTCACGTTCCCGGCGGGCACATATGTTTGCGAGGTTGAAATCGATCCGGAGACGGGCCAGACGGAAATCGTGAGTTTTGTGGCGGCGGACGACTTCGGCAAGGTGATCAACCCGATGATCGTGGAAGGCCAGGTGCATGGCGGTCTTGTTCAGGGGATCGGCCAGGCGCTTCTGGAGAACGCGGCCTATGACGAGAACGGTCAGCTTCTGACGGCGTCCTACATGGACTACACGATGCCGCGCGCGGATGATGTGCCCTCGTTCAACCTGTCGACGCACGAGACGCTTTGCCCGGGCAACCCGCTTGGGATGAAGGGGTGCGGTGAGGCCGGTGCGATCGGGTCTCCGCCTGCGGTGATCAACGCGATCACGGATGCGCTCGGATCGAATGATCTGACGATGCCGGCAACGCCCGAGAAGGTTTGGCAGCTATGCCAGGGCGCGGTGAAACAGGCCGCCGAGTGAGTTCGAGACATCTTCGGGCAGGCCGGGCCTGCCCGTTCACGGGACAAGAAGATTTAGGGGAGACCCGGTATGTATGAAACGACTTATCACCGCGCAGGTTCTGTTGCCGAAGCATCGGATCTGATGTCGAAGGCGGATGACGGCAAGGTTCTTGGGGGCGGGCAGACGCTTCTGCCGACGATGAAGCAGCGGCTTGCTGCGCCGAGCGATCTTGTTGATGTGACGAAGGTTGCCGAGATGAACGGCATCAGCGCGGGCGATGGCAGTGTGTCGATCGGGGCGGCAACGACCCATGCGGAGGTTGCCTCGTCCGATCTTGTAAAGGCGAAGCTGCCGAGCCTTGCCGGTCTTGCAGGCGGGATCGGCGATCCGGCGGTGCGGCACATGGGAACGATCGGCGGTTCGGTCGCCAACAACGACCCGGCGGCGGACTATCCGGCGGCGCTTGTGGCTCTGGGGGCAACGGTTGTGACCAGCAAACGCTCGCTCAGTGCCGAGGACTTCTTCGTCGGCATGTTCGACACGGTGCTGGATGAAGACGAGATCGTGGTCTCGGTGAGCTTCCCGCTGATCGAGAAGGGGGCCTATGCCAAGTATCCGAACCCGGCCTCGCGCTATGCCATGGCCGGTGTGTATGTGGCCAGACACCAGGACGGCTCGGTCCGGGTGGCGGTCACCGGAGCCGGGCAGGGCGGCGTCTTCCGGGTCGAGGGCATGGAAGCGGCGCTTGCCGCCAACTGGTCGCCGGACGCCGTCGCAAACATCAAGGTGGACGCCGGCTCCATGCTGCACGACATCCACGGATCGGCAGCCTACCGCGCAAACCTCGTCACGGTCATGGCAAAACGCGCCGTCAAAGCCGCTGGGTAAGAGGTTTGCCCAAGTCGTCATGAAGTTGAGAGCCCGGCTTGCTACAAGCCGGGCTTTTGATGTTGATTGGTCCGTTATCCAAAACTTTTCATATCAAATCGACACAAGATTAGAGTTGTGGAGATCCGAATTATGTATGACAGAGGTCACAGTTTCAGCGTCTTCTAAATGCTAACAAGAGCACTGAAACTCGGGTAAAAAAGACTAGTGAAGCCCAAAAACGCACATATTGGACATCTAGGCACACGCCTGGATTAATTTGACCTTCAGTGTTGGTTGGCATAGTGCCCGAAGGCAATGAGCGGCGGGATAGAGGTATAGATGGCTGGAACAAATCAGCGTGCTCCCAAATCGAGCACTGGGCGGAACAATCCCGTTTCTGTTGCGTTCCGACCAATTCGTTCTGCCTTTTGGGGAGTCGCGGTCGTCAGCTTCGTCATCAATATCCTGATGCTGACCGGTCCCGTTTTCATGCTGCAGGTCTACGACCGGGTTCTTGCCAGCGGTTCCGTGCCCACATTGGTCGTCATTGGCGCACTTGCGATAGTGCTCTACATCTTTTACGGAATTCTTGAAGGTGTCCGGGGACGTATCCTCTCTCGTCTCGGTCAGCGCGTTGACGCCAGATTGTCAGGCATTGTCTACAAGGTTTCAAACAGTCTGCCCGTTCGTTTGGGACGCCAGGCAGCGCGTCTTCGCCCTGTTCAGGACCTTGATACGATCCGGCAGTTCCTTTCCGGCCCCGGTCCCGCGGCAATATTCGATATTCCCTGGTTGCCACTTTACCTCGGTATCGTGTTTCTGTTTCATCCGCTTCTGGGCCTCGTCGGACTTGCCGGTGCCGTCATCATCTCGGTGCTGATCGGCCTCAATGAATTCATGTCCCGGAGGCCGACTGAAGAGGCGGCGGGTCATGCCGGTCGTCGATCTGCCGCGGTTGAAAGCGGTCAACGCAATTCGGAAGTCGTGGCCGCAATGGGCATGCAGAACACGCTCACCGCAAAGTGGGACGCGCAA